TTATGAGTATGTCTATTGTTATGTATAGTGTTTGATCAAGTGTATTAAAGATGCCTTCATGATATATTTGGTACATTGATCTCAACAACGATACAAGACAAGTCATAAAATTTATTCCATATGTATTAGAGGTGATACAATGTGTCAATCCTATCCAAGCTCGATGTAGCAAAAGCTCGGTACAAGGAATAGGCTTGTCCCTAGAGCCAACCCATGGCGAGTCCACTTGTAGGAGCATCAGCTAGCACTAATCGATAATTAAGTTTGTATGCTCGACACAATCTGATTTATATCTCTATTATAATTTCTTTAATCATGTTGGCAAAGTAAGACTCGATAGTATTAAAATATATGGAAATTTTGACAAAGTTAAGGAGACATTTGGTTTGCTATTTTAAATATTCAATTTTTGTAAAACACTCAAAACTTGTTTTGTCTGATATTTTTTTAAATTGTTTTTCAAAAATATTGTTAAACTAATAACATAAAACTCAAAAAATATTTTTGACGTTTTAAATATTTTCAAGAAAACATTAAAAATACAAAAAATGAAAAATAAGAGTATAAATAAAATTTTAAAATTTTGTTTAAATATAATTCAAAAAAAAAAATAGTTCAATAATATAATCTATAAAATTAAAAATTCTTAAAAAATAAAATCAAAAAAAGTAAAAATAAAAAAAGCTCAAGCTCTTATTGATTATTTAAAATATATATATATATAACAAAAATAAAAATTCTCAATCCACATTATTAATTTTTATTTTTCATTTGGTATATTTTGTCAACTTAATTTATTTTTATTGTTATTTTACTTTTATAGCGAGAAAAAATATTATAAGATTCCCCGACTTCAAAATGTATATATTTGTATTAATATAAATGTTCTATTTTAGTGAATAAATAAATTTCATCGAATAAAATCATAAAATAATTTCTCAAAATTTCAAAATAAACGTATTGTTCAATTTTCTATTTTGGAAAACATTTTTCAGAATAACAAATAAAATGCTTTTTCAACATTCTTAAAATAGAATCTCAAAATAAAAAATAAAAAATTACAAACCAAACAGGCCTGGGGATGGCAAAAAACTCGCCTCACCCCGAACGAGTTGGTGGGGTGGGGCGGGGCTCTGGAATTGAACAATTTCCTTGTATCTGAGAAAAACTTCCAAATTAATAGGAACAAGGCGGGGGCGCCCGTCGCTGGGCGTGGGCAAGGATGCCTCGCCGCGTGAAGGGAAAAAAAAGGTTAAAAATAATTTCATTTTTAGACAATTTATTTGTTAAAAACCTATTTTGAAATTTTATTTTATTCCATAATAATAACATAAAACGAAGTTTTGAAAATGTTAAAAATAAAAAAAAAATTAAATGGGGTTAAAAGTTTCGCCTTGCCCAGCCCCGAACCTGCCAGGTTTTCATCAATATACGGGCCTTGAGTTTTCGTGACATCTTCAATTCCATATTAACATATTTCTTATCACAATTAAGTTAAAAAAAAAAAAAAAATTCCAAAGAGAAGAAACAAAGTATTCTATTTTTTGCCCGCACTTAGTGTTCTCACCAATTGACATGTCTTCTGTCATTATATTAGTTTTTATCATTGCTTGTAATAAAAAAAAAAACTAGCAAAAAAAGCTACAATATCAATTTGTAGCAGAAAACATTTTTATATTGAATTTTTCAAATTTTGTTTTCCTTGAGAATATTGTTTCCTTTTTTATCCTAAAATATTCATATTCCAAAAGAAAAGTAATAGTTTAATTCACCCGTTTGTTTCAATCCCTAAATATACAGCCATTTTTAAACATCTGATGAACAATTTTTTTGACTATTAAGGCTAATTGATCAGTTTTACTTACACCGACCCAGAAACAATTAAAAGAACACTTCAACAACAAAACAACAGAAATTCTTGAAAATTTGTCACCAAACCGAGATTCTCGAACTTTTCAGCAATAGCTTCAAGATCTTTCGGCGGTTCGTTAAATTAGATGCTGGAAAATTAAGCGTCAATCTGTGAGTTCTTTCTTTAACCCATCTCTTTCTGTTTTCTTTAAATTCTCCATTTGGGTTCCAAGAAAAATATCCTGAAAATGAAAGAAAAATACCTAATATTAATATTTTAAATGTTAGTATTAACTTGCTGAAATAGTTCTGTATGCTGTTTTTATTTCAAGATTTTCAGCCAGAAAAAGAATTAGAGAGTGGATGGTTTCATATTTTGCATTATTTTCATTTTAGGACATTGTGACTTTTTGGAGTAGAAATTAAGCATTTTTTTTGGGTTTTATTGCTTTATTAATTTAATTTGTGGTTGATAAAAAAACAGCAAAAATAGCACAAGGGTTTTGAAATTTTAGACACATACGCGATGAATATTAGGTAATTTCTTATTTAGTCTTTGGGTTATGAAATATGTAACGTGCATTTTGTGGTCATTCATTTATTAATTTTTGTGGCAGATTTTTTAGCCTGGCGTAGTAATCATGTCGAGGGGAATGCTTCTCATTGTTCTGATGCTGATACTGATTATAACTTCTCAATTTGAATGGAGGCAACAGCTTGGGGGCGACGTGGATACGAGTCCAAGGGAGTCTCAGAAACAGCCACAAATTTCTAAAAGAGAAGAAGTTGTCAAAGAGAAGGTAATGCAGCTATCTTCAGATCTTTTAGCATCAAATTCAATCATCTAGAAATTATTTGCACTTGAACCATACTATTTTCTTTCTTGGTTATGCATATGTTTTGTGAGTGAGTAAAATTGAAAATTTTTGGCACCTAGGATGTGAGATGACTTGAAGTTGTTTTAGATTCATCTAACATTTGAAGTAGTTTCCCCTCGTCCCTCAATCTCTCATCTCTTCCTTTAAAAAAAAAAAAAAAAAAAAAAAAAAAAAAAAAAAAATAAAAAAAAATGTTCAAGAATACATGTATGTATTTGATGAGAGTTTCTGGGCTAGGTGCTCCATGGTTCACGAGAAGAAAAAGGGCTTATTATAACCAAATGCCTACTGTACTTTACTTGCAGACTACATTGGTTTAGATAATGTTGTAAAATGAATGTTTCAAAAGGCGTATGTCTTGAATTTGCATTAAGTGCTGACAAATTTGGCAATGTCTTAAACCATTGTGGTACCATGCATCACTCACTTTTTCTGTTAATATATATATATATTTTTTATTGCAAATATAAGGAACTTCATTTTAGAACATCTGCTTCTTTTCAGGATGTTATCTTCATTTTAACTTTTTTTTTTTTTAATTTAATTTAATTTTATTTTTTATTCCTTGGTATTCAATGTAACCAATGGGGTAGAGAGTTCTTCTGAGGATAAAGATTGAGTATCTAAAATATTAAGAAGTCTTCTACGAATCCACTTTATGATAAAAGATGCTCTATATATAGCTGTGATGTTCTAAGCTATAAAATTCCATTGATGCTCCTTTCCTAATTCATTGACATTCCCTACAAGGAGCACGTCCTCCTGGTACTAGATGTATCTTATGTATGAGCATTTGTTAACATTTGGTTGATCTGTAAATGTTGATCATACTTTTAAACTGTTCCATAATATTGCAGTAGGATTTAGGACACTTGATAAGTGTGGTGTTTTATGGAGGAGTAACATAAGAGAGAGGAATGCTCACAAATGGTTTTACAGCAGAGAGATCAGCAATTCTTGATTGACATAAAGCAGCTTAGAAAAATTGCAATAAATGTATCTTTATATTAATGCTTCAGAACTATCAAGAAGCATAAAGGGTAAGGCCTCTGTGTTTAGTGAGCCACTTAAACATAGGAAGAAGAGTAGCAGGTTCGTCTGACTGTAGAGAGTAAAAAGAATTGAACTGGGTTTTGTACAATAATATATTCTTTGTCCTCAGACACACGGCTTTATATGGTTGTGAAGGGTTTCATTTGATATATAGAAAGGAGTGGCATTGTGGCAGAATCCAATCCGAAACTTATACTTGGCTTGTTGTTTGTTGTAATATAAATCAGTTAGTGCTTGTTAGCAATTGACACTTTCACATATCAACATTCCTCTTGTATTACACCTTCCATTTATAGATTAGTTGTAATAAATACAGTTATGTTCAAATGAAATAGGGTTGAATAATGATGCTACCGTATTAGCAAAACTGTCCTTTTGGGACAGATCGAGTATCATGGTTTGCCGCTATTTAAATGACATGATAGAGGCATAACTGAATATCTCATATCCCCAGCAGTTATTGCAATCATTATTGGCTTTAGTATAAAGTTGGTGCCCGAGTTTGGAATTAGGAAGGTCTTATTATGTCATTCCTGAATTAGGAAGGTCTTATTTGGTGAGCAGCAGATCACCTCTGTTATGTTTGACGTGTGAATGTTTGGCTAAGCTTAAAAAGTCTACAATAGGTAAGTTTGAAAATAAATTAAATATTTTGTTGGTCAAAGTTGAAAATAAGTAGTTATTTATATGAAATGAACTCTTACTTTATTATCAAAATGAGCAACCTATTTACATATATTAAGAAAACTTTTCCGAAAATGTCTGGGAACGAAAAATCATTTAAGGCCTGTTTGGTAGGACTTCTGTTTTGTATGGAAGAGCTTCCTAGTGATGCTATCTTGGATCAGCTTCCTCTAAAAGTTCTTCTCATCAAATAACTTCCAAGAAATTATCCAAACAAATCCAGAACCGTCTTCTTAGTCTCAGATGCAGTTTTTGGCTTTTCAAAAGCCCTGCTAAACAAGCACTTAGAAGCTTAGCCAAAATGCTGTAGTCCCCCAAGACAAGGTCCTGTTGCACTTACAATTGTAGAATCTTGCTCGGGTAACATATCCCAAGGAATTTTGGTGGAACTATAACCATGAAGTGTACTGAGAAATGCGCGTGTAATGTTTCAGGCTCCTGACCATAGAAGTAAAAAGAACAATTAAGAAAATATTAGTTGAAAAGGGTAGGATTTGGATCGAGCATCTTTACCAGGTTTTGAAAAAATTAAAGGATAAACCAACATATCAAGGGCGACACGGGTTGGATATTTAAATGGCTTTGATTCACGAGAGGAACTAAAAATGATTTTTTACCTGAAGCATGTTACTGGATGAATCTTTCCCTGACTTTTTAGCGTGACTTGAGTAACTTTTATTTATTTCTAAGCTTAGTGAACATAAACAAGTTTTGTCCTATATTATCTACTCGAGCAGATTATCTTGTCTCAAGAGAAGAACATCCAGAGACTCAATGAGCTCGTGCAGAGTCTTAAGGAACAATTACATCTGTGCCAGTGTACTAACGAGACCATTAATGGCACTGTTAGCTCAATGACCGAAAACATCATTGAGCTTGAGCAACAACAAATTCTGGAGGACTAAACGTTGACCTTGAAGTTATTGTCATCATCAAGGCTTCGTACATCTTCTGTTTTGTCGTTATCTTTCGCTTTGTTGTAATACCCTTCGATTTCTTGCTGTTTGATGCTAAACGAAGACAATTCTTGTACTAAAGTCTCTGCAACTGTGTGTTAATAGTTGCGATTAGTAAAATGCTGTTGATTCCTATGCCTTTCTTGAAATTACGCTTTTAGTTGAATTCTAGTTTAGAATTTAGTGTAGTCGAAAATTTGCATAGTATAGTGCTCTGTTTTTGTTTTCAGCCTTTTAGTACAGAAGCTATGGGCACCAGTAGTGAGCCGAAAGTGGTAAGCTTGAAAATTTAATACTTTTTCGTCGTGTTCCCCC